CCCACCAAACTCTCTCTTTTCCCTCACGGCAACATGTGATCTTGTTCAAAGTTGGTTGGGTTTGGGTTTTGTTTCTTTTTTTTTCCTGACACAGAAACATTCTGTTGAAAGATTTCCAAACAGTCCCAGTCTCTAGAAATGTATCTGGGAGGGTCCAGAGGATGGGGTTTGGCTTGCTGCTAATCCAGACTGTCGTGAACCTGAGGCAACAAATTAAGAGAGAAGCAGCGAAACTGTTTGGTGTGGGAACTCTTTGTTCTGCACAGTCCAAAACAACATTGCAATGAAACGCCATCTGCAGCAGGTGACTCTGCCGGGAATTATATCACAGATCCAAATGCTCGGCATTTCTAATGCTTTACAACACTGCGTGTGAAAACACAGGCAGGGAAGAGGTGAATGAGTCATTCCCTCCAGCACACCAGTGTGTCTCGGGCAAGGTACCAGCCTGTTTGTAACATTGGATGTCCGAGGGGGTTCACTCCCTCATCAGTACCACAAACTGTTTGGCATTCCCCTGTGCTGTCTTCTCTCTTCAGGATTACGCTGACTCTGGCCTGCCCCATGGACCTGAAGAACTTCCCCATGGACGTGCAGACGTGCATCATGCAGTTAGAAAGCTGTGAGTTCCCCGTACATCTCCATTCTGGAGAGGAGACAACGTGTTTTCCCTCTCCCTCTCCCCTGCCATCTCCATCCCCATCTGCAACCCATTCCCAGTTCAGCCTTCCCTGGAGGCTTACTCAAGAACCACTTGCTCAGGATTTTCCGTTCGGCACATGTGACATTTCCTAGAGAAGCCAAACCTGAAAAGATCCCCCGAGAGAAGCCCTGGCTTGCTTGTATTTACATTGGCCTTTCACCGTGGAGGGGAAAGGTGAAAGTGTTTTCAGCTGCAAATGGGAATTTTTCTCTCTGAATGAACATCTGCCCCTTGTACATGTTACTTATCCCAAAGGAGGGAAAGACAATGAACAAATTCATTCAGAGAAAGAGGTCAAGTTTGAAAAAAATAGCAAACAGCTCAACAAGCCAAATTCAAGAAGAAATGTGATTTATCTCAGACAATTCATTGCACATCGTCACAGCTGCAGTGCAGGTCATTACCCTAGTTTTTACCATATGCTTAAGCAGTTCTGTCTCAACCCAAATCCCATTCATTACAGCATTGCTAAGGAGGGCCAGGATAAGTCCCTGCCTCCAAGCATAGCTCTCTTCTAAAAATTTGTCCCTTTCTAGATCAGTATTTAATATGTGTCACATGGTATTTGTCCCCTCCTCTCAACAGTTGGCTACACGATGAACGATCTCATATTTGAGTGGCAAGAAAAAGGAGCCGTGCAAGTTGCTGATGGGCTGACATTGCCTCAGTTTATCCTCAAAGAAGAAAAAGACTTGAGATACTGCACAAAGCACTACAACACAGGTCAGTGCTGTTTACCCTTAGCTGCTGGGTTCATTAGAGAAGAATTCAGGCCTGTGCATTTGCCAGAGACTCTTGCTATGTCTGACGGCACTCTGGTGATAGAAGCCTTGTCCTACATGGCTAGGAATAATACAAATGCGAATACACATACATATATTACCAGTAAATATACACATATATAGCCAATATAAAGCTAATAGACACAAATAGGCGGAACCTTCTTGGCCCCAGTAACATCTGCATGAGTTTAAGAGTGTGTGGTCTGCACCTTCTCTCACAACATCTTTTACCTTTGATGCAAGGGAGCAGCTGAAATTTAAGTGACAAAGGACATACTGCCAAGAGCTTTCTTGTTGTACATTTGTATTTCAGAACTGGGCAACAGCTGTTAATTTCCTCCTCTAACAAGACTCTGGTTCTAGGCAATGCAAGGAAAGTCCCCAAACAATAGCTGAAAACAGGAGGTTCACTGTGCCGTATCAGTAGTCTTCCATGTATCTCCCATCTTTCTCAGGCAAGTTCACCTGTATAGAAGCTCGTTTCCACCTGGAGCGGCAGATGGGCTATTACTTGATCCAGATGTACATCCCCAGCCTCCTTATTGTCATTCTGTCCTGGATCTCCTTCTGGATCAATATGGATGCTGCACCTGCTCGTGTTGGCCTGGGGATCACCACAGTGCTTACTATGACCACGCAGAGCTCTGGTTCCCGAGCATCACTGCCCAAGGTAGGGAACACACTTATCTTCGCAGAGGGGCAAAACGTGTACTTTCTGGGGACAGCACATAAATAAGTCACCACATAGATCTTCCTGCTCAACGCAAGAGCCATTCTTCTGCCATTGCCCTATACCAGTTCAAGAGCAAGCAGAACAAATTCCAGTACCCTCGCGCTAAAGTTTTAGCAGAGTTGCTATGACTAGCAGTAAAACTTCCCCTAAGATTCAGCACTCACCCCAAGATCTGCTACAGATCCCAGTAACAAGGAGGTCTGTACCTTACAAACCCCTGCAACAACCACACGTGGATACGCACTCTACATTCTAGCTTTTTACTCACCTGACCATCATACTTTTATAATAGTACTTAATTTCCCTGTTATGAAGGGCTTCTGGTATGATCAGATTGGAATACTATTTTCCTTGCATATAAACCATCACAATCAAGACCCGGATAAATTAAAAACCGTGGAATTATTGCTGCTTAAGAGCCCAGGAGCAGTTTCAGTGGCCTGATAATACATTCATGTTAAATGAGCTAGATTTTGGTATCCAGGAGCAGATGTGAACTATAAAATGGCTTGATCAATGCCTTACCTTGGGAGTAACATGTAAAATAGCAAGCAAAAAGGCATTTGGGTGAAGAAGCCACACCATCTCACTCTCTCTCTGACTCCTAGGTGTCCTACGTGAAGGCCATAGACATCTGGATGGCCGTGTGCTTGCTGTTTGTGTTCTCTGCACTTCTAGAGTACGCTGCCGTCAACTTTGTGTCTCGGCAGCACAAAGAGCTGCTCAGGTTCCGAAGGAAGAGGAGGCACCATAAGGTAATACATAAAGCATGAATGACACAGCTGGAATCTGTCCCAGCAGAACATCACTACATGGTCAACTGAACCGAGCCACTAGCTCCCAGGGAAGTCGTCAGTATATGGTTAGATGTTAAAGAGGGTCGCACATCAAAAAGCAGCACTACCTCAGTGAATTGTGTCTCTTCTAACAGTCTTGCTGACCCCAGGAGTCTAGCAAGCTGGGTTTTGTTAGCTAGCCAAGTGGTCTAAGCCAAAAGAGCTGTTCTCAACAGAACAATTTTCACACAGCAATGTTCTGGTCTGAGTTCTCCTCTTCAGAAGACACAGTGAGGGCTGGGGGGAGGCGGGCAGGGAGGTGTGAGGGATGTCTGTCAGAGAACAGCATCCCCCAACAAGACAGCCTACATTAGCCCGGAGGTAAGTGACACCTCTTTTGATTCTGTCATCTCCATGTTCAAAAGCATCTGCTTCTCAGACTGACTGCAAATTCCTCTTGAAGGAAAACAGCATTATTCTCAGCCTTAGCCTCGCTCCGTGCTTACTCGCCATGACTGACACCAACCCGAGCAGCATGCATCACACAGACACACATCTCCTGCAGCCTGGACTCTGCTAGATTTTAGGCTGAGGTACCAGAGCAAAGATTTCACCTCACAGGATGCACCAGAAAGAAACATAAAGGTGATTGTAATCACAAGAGCAAAAGCACTTAAAAATTGTCCTTGATTAACTAGTAGAATCAGGTAGGTGGTATCAAATTTTCAGCACCAGCCTGAGAGGCTGCCCTCAAGCTAGCATTAAAAGGCCAGTAAATTTGCTAAGAAAGAAAAACACAGAAAATTTTTCTGATGGGAATCTCAAGAGAGCCCCTAGGAGACCACCAAGGTCTGCCTAAAATATTCCTCACAGGTATTTGCCTACCCTGTATTTTAAAGAGCCCTCCGTGATCTACCCCGCCCAGAGACACTCCCCACCCCCCCCATTCCATTGCTTCCCTGCCCCAGCCGTTAAAAGTCCTTCCCAGGGTCTAACCTGTCCTACAGCAGTTCACAGTGTGTGCTTGGAAAACTGCCATCATTCCAGGAGGCACTGGGGGCTAAGGAGCAGGAATCCCTGTCTCTTTGTAGATTTGCCTCTTTCTGCTTCAGCTGTCCTGTCTGCAAAACAGGAGATAATTGTTCACTCGTCCCCAGCCCAGTCAGGACCAGGGATGAAAAGTGTTGAACAAATGCAAGGGAAAAGAAGTAACAGATGAGACCATCAGCACTCGTTGAATTTGTCTGGCCAGAGCAAGACACTGCCATCTCAAAATCAGCCGAGGCGGTTTTGGTTCAGAAGATGCAGCCTGCTGAATAGAGCCAAAACTAAAACCACCCAACACGGGTGCCTCATAGTGCTTTTATCTCTGCAGCTAAATTCAGACATCCTGTCTCTGGATCTGTGCTGTTGTATGCAGATTGTTCTGTTGATAAAACAATAAGGAGAAAAAAGCCACTAATATACAGATGAGTTTAAAAGATATTTGCCAGAGATGTTCCATTGAACACAAGGCTGCTATTACAATCCCTACCCAATCTCACAGCAGTTTAATTGGAACAAAGCATAAACAAAAACACTTGCAAAAGCAAAATGAACAAGGTTTGCAGGCTCATCAGAAAACTAGGAGCTGACTGCAAATATGCAAATGGATTAGTGCAGCTGCCAAAGATCCTAATTGCTCTGTCCCGATGTCCTGACTTGTCTGGGTAGCTCTGCTGGTTTAAGTATAACATGCCAGGCTGAAAATAAGTGGGATGTTTCAGTGGTACATGCTGGTGGAGGCAGCTGGGGACTGGACCAGCCCATGACCACATTTATTAGGTCCGCGCAAATCAAAACCCCTCCAGGTCCTCATCCACCCTCATGCCGGTGCCTCCTCCGCAGTGCAGGTTCTGGCCACCCGTACAGTCGAACTCCTGCATTGCTTCTCATCGGAAAATCAGCCTTTTAACTGAAAAATTCTCTCCAAGAGAAGAATTTCTGTGAACATTGACTCCTAGCTCACCAAGTGTTTCTTACTAGATCATCAGCACCTGGACTCAGTCAGCCCTGAGAACAGCTGGGTCCTAATTTTTGGTACCTCAGTTTCCCCAACCAGAGCACTGTCTCCTCACAGAGGCAGTTAGGAGGCAAAGACATTTAAGGATTGTCAAGTCTCAGATGCCAGGGACCAGAGATACACCAAGGGGACACAACCAGAGCAGGAAAGAATTACCCAAAGGCCTGCAAATTTGAATTAGCCAGGACTCTGAAACAAATAAGACTGCTGGTAGGTCACACAACTCACCAGCTTGCCACCCTCTCCCCAAACAAAAAACCACCAAAACACCCACAAACCACCAAAACAAAAAAAAAAACCCAAAGAAAGAAGGCTTGAATTTATTTGGATTGTTTTGCTTTGCTCAGATATGCTGGCGTGCTCTCCCGTCTGCTCCTCCATCCCATGCAGCTACCCGCTCGATACAGGGGCCATCCAGAAAAGACACTCTGTAAAAAAGAGAGGAAGGGGCAGCAGGGCACACCGGGCAGGTGGGGTACAAAGGAGGGGGTCAGTAGGTCAGCACTGGGGTACACAGTGTGGGTCAGCCCCCATGACAGATAATTAGTGCCAATTAGCCTCACAGACCTGTAGCAAGAGACTTGGGTTTCTGACCCTGCCTCTGCAACTCATTGGTTGTATTACTTTGGCCAAACTTGAGTTTTCCTGTGATTACATGCCCGTGTTTGATAAAATAGGGCTAAATTGTTCTGAGAAGCCTGCAAGGTCCCCACCAAAACCCAGCAATAACATTTGCCTTTAGACTGGAAAATAAATTATTTTTCTCACTCAGTAATCGGAATTAACACAAGCAGCCATGGCTTACCATTGACGCACAGAAGGGCACCTCACCTAAAAGATGGCTAGTGGGGAGGGGCTGTGGGGCTCGGGGGGGTCCCATGGGCAGGCGAGCGGAGGGCTGGTTGCACGTTGTCTGCAGAGGTCTTTTCCTGGACAGGTCTCGGCACCTGTGTGTCCATGTAACTCCGTAGGAAGTCACACGCTGTGGT